CAAGCATAGCCCACTGACTAGTAAGAAAGTTTTTCTTCCTTATTCAGAGGAATCGGGTAAATTTCATATATGCAGTTTGTTATAGTACCTCGTCCACTAGATAGAGTGACATTTTTGCTGTTCGCTCCAACTTAGAGCGAGGAATGAAATACTCTGAAATAATTTAGATTTTCAATTATGAAATATCATTGATTTTAGGTCGATGATGGCCACTATCTTGCACTGATGAGTGGCTAATGTGCCCGAAACCGGTCTGCAAGTGTGCCTATTCCAAAAATGAAGGTACAGTACAACCAACTTCATTTTGTACTGCTTTCTCATATTAGTATTATAACATTAAAATGAACAATTCAAAAATAACTTTACAAAACGCTCAAATGTGCGAACTCGTTTCCTCCTTTTCATAAAAAAGGATGTATGCATCTCCACTCACAAGCGATTTTGGTGAAATTGGTGACACTTGTGAATCATTGTATTCGTGCCACGTGCCAGTATAAGGATGTCTGCATAATGGTGTATACTGTCCGCTGTAGGTAGACCCACTGTGATTCGAAAGTGCATATAGATTATAGCGACAAGGAGTCACATTATCTGCTGCATAATTGTTCATATCTAATCCATACAGAGGAAATTCGATGGCAACATTTAACTTGCCTCTAAATCTTTCTGTTAGTGAACATTTTTTAAAATGAATTACTAAAATATGGGGAAACTTATGGATCGATAGAGACTTTGTGCATTTTCTTCTTTCCTTGCAACTTGAACACGTCGGTTTTTCATGTCCATCTAAAGTCTCCTCTCTTGTGAAGAAATCCAAGCACTGTGATAAATTCAATTGGTTACTTCTTTGTGGTATGGGGAGTGACAAATCCCAGAAAGGATCGAAGGTTACAGATGAGTGTCCACAATGTGTGCACTTTATCGTGGATTTTAATTGACCAACGAAATTATCTACAATCTTAGAGTTATTATGTACTCGAATAAATCAGCCATGACTCTTGTGCTTTTCCGCTGTCGCTCAATTTTTCCTTAATCTCCGTTAAGGTCGGTTTTGGTTTCTCAATAATTCTATTAACGTCATCATGTAAATCTTCTAAAAGATAACGAAGGAACTCCTGGGCGTCTTGATGCGCATGACCCATGAATCCAGGGGCAAAACTCTGAATCTGAATTTTTAAGGAGACTGTTCCCTACTCTATGAGATGAATCATCTGACCACAATTCCTTGATAACTTCTGCAAAAGCTCTGATTAAAGCACCATCCGTACTAGAAATTCACTTTTCGACCATATAGCACATGTCAACATTTTTTTTGTCAAAATATCGGCGTGGAAGCCATTTCAAAAAAATTCAATATGGCGGCAAAAGGACGCTATCTATGGAAATATTGTCAAGCAGCTTGAAGTGGAGAACCAAAAAACGGCATTTGCTATTAGTTTCTGAGGAAAAATTCGAGAATCATGCAGGAAAAAATGTGTTCATTGAAAACCACAAGGTTCTGTTTTAGGTCCAATACTATTCTTAATTTACATCAATTCTATTTCAGAACTGAGTGCATGTGGTTCTATCAGTCTTTTTGCTGATGATATAGTAGTGATAGGCATAATCGAATGATGAGTACTCGAGTGATCCCAAAAATCGAAATATCATTCGAATGAAATCACTCGGATACTACGTCACTCGTCGATTTAATTCGAGATCCGGCGATGCGAGCAATCACTCGATGCTCATGCTCATAAGAATAAAAACAGAGAACATTGAAATTGAAACAGTGGCAATAATTTTTCAGTTTGGAGGATTCGAAGCCGTTGCAACGAAATTTCTGTTATTACTCATATATTCCACTATTTTTTCGACTCTTACTTATTGTGTAGTTGATACCTTTATTCCGTTATTATTAGGAACTGTTTTGATATTGAATGATGCGGCCTGGAGCTAAGAAATCTATTGTCCGGGAACATTTCGACAAAATAGAAAACGGTCAAGTTCAGTGTCGAATTTGCAAGAGTTCTCAAGTTTTTTGGCAACACTACCAAATTAAACCACCATATAATTTATTTTAATTTTTGTGAGGACTTTTATTTTTTGTTTATGTTTTCAATATATTTTAACAAGTTACCATTAAATTTCAATAAATTTTGTAATTGTAATTATTCAAAGTTTATCGTCAACAAATTTCTGAACATTCTCAGACCAAACCTGTATTTCACCACATCCTACAAACAAGTGTCGGTATATAGGCCGGCACTGCACTGGTGTGTAGCGGCGTAAGACTAGAATACTGTTTTCGACTATTTCACTCACTACTAATTTGATTCGATACATAACAACATTCGAATGATCTGAATCATTCGAATGATTCCATTTGACACTTCGAGATATCTCGAGTGATTGCAATAATCGAATGACCGATTATTTTTAATTCGAATGATCCCATCACTATGATATATAACCGTCATTTACTTTTCTAAAAATACCAATATCATTGATAAATCTATTTTAGGAGACTTAAAACTAATATCTCTTTGGTTGGGATCTCATGAGTTACATTTGAATTTCGATAAATCTTGCTATACAATTATATCCAGAAAAAATTCAGATTACAAAAAGTTTTTTCTAAATTTCAATAATAATTCGATAGAATTTGAGAAAGAAGTAAGGTTTATATCTAGATCAGAATTTATCTTGAAAGAAAATTGCACCTCTTGTAGGTAAATTATATTAATAAGAAATGTTATTCCTTTTGAATATTATTTTTCTTTAATCTATTCGAATTTTGAATACCTAACATCGTTTGGGCAACAGCTAATTCCTCTCATTTGAAACCTTTATGTCCGGAACATATTCGACAGTATTGCCTAAAATTGAATTTACCCAATATAGTGTTTTAAAATTTGTTAATATGAAACTCTAATATAAAGCGACAATAGAAAAGTAATTGTGTAATTAAAAATGTTAAAATCCAATAAGTACAATTTTTTTATGAAATCTTATGAAATCGCCAAAAGGGCTCAGTTATTTATTTTTTGAAGTGTAGTATTACACCATCACAATCCGTGGATACAAAATATACCCATAGAACTGAGTCGGGCCTACTCCAAATATCAGTTGAACAAACGAACAAATACAAATTTTACAAGTACCAACTGAAATTAGAAGTTTCATGCATAACCCCCTCTCCGAGAAGAAATTTTGAATTACCTGAGTTTGGTTTGAATAAGACAGGTATTAAAAGTCTTGGTAAATTTTCATATCATCAGTTTTCCAGTGATATCAGTGCCTATATACGCTTCCGATAAACCAAGATAGAAATTATTTTCCGACAAAAGAATTTCGAAGGCTCCAACTTCAAAATCATTTTCGCTTCATTTTGTGAAATTTTCGGCAAATTTGAATTTTTCGTTTTATCAATGCAGTGTCCTAATGGTCGTGGCCGTACGCGTGGGCGCGGCAGGAATGGAAGAAGTAAGTTTTTTTTCTGTAATCGCGTTTTAAACGAAGGCTTATGCGCTTTCAGATGTCATGTGAATTGTGTTCAATTATTGTGCTCCCGAATCTTGGCCGTTCACGCATAGCTACTATTTTTGCACTGAATATACCTATTATTTGATGTAATGTGAATGCGAAATTCACTTTTTGACCATATAACATATGTCACCATTTTTTTTGCCAAAATATCGGCGTAGAAACCATTTCAAAAAAATCAATATGGCAGCAATAGGACGTTATCTATGGAAATATTGTTAAACAGCTTGAAGTGGAGAACAAAAAAACGGAATTTGCTATTAGTTTCTGAGGAAAATTTCGAGAATCGGACTTTTTTTAGCCAAATACTATGTGAATCATGCAGGAAAAAAAGAGTTTATTGAAAACCACAAGGTTCTTTTTTAGGCCCGACACTATTCTTAATTTACATCAATTCTATTTCAGAACTGAATGTATGTCGTTCTATCAGTTTTTTTGCTGATAATATAACCCTCATTTACCTAAAACTAACATCTCTTTGATTCGGATCTTATGAGTTACATTTGAATTTCGATAAATCTTGCTATTCAATTATATCCAGAATAAAAATCAGATTACAAAACTTTTTTTTTATTTCAATAATAGTTCTATAGAATTTAAGGAAGAAGTAAAAATTTAAGGTTTATATCTAGATCAGAAATTATCTTGGAATTCACATATCAGTCGACTCAGAAAGAAAATTGCACCTCTTGTAGGTATATGTTATAAGATACGAAATATAATTTCTTTGAAATATTTGAAAACAATTTATTTTTCTTCGATTTATTTCAATCTTCAATACCTTACATCGGTTTGGGCAAAAGCTAATTCCTTTTATTNCATTACGTCATCATGTTTGATCGATTTGATCTTGCGTGATTTTTGTAGCCTACTTTAAAAATTATCTAAGTTTCGTTTATGTCTAGGAAGCGAAGATTCTCTTCTCTTTTGTACAACAGCGCATTTTTCACGTAAAACCTTTCTCTAATCTTCTTTCTAGTTTTTTAATCCTACATGTATGGATTTCTCCTAGCAAAGTTATTTCACTTCAATAAGGATGCTGTCCAAAGTAACGTGACGGTTAGATTTCCGTTACGAATTTTTTTCTTTTTGTGAATGTAAACACTTTGTATAAAGTGTCATTTTGGTTCTCTTCAAATGCCGGCTCATTCTTGTTAGTTCAGTCATACTTTTCAATTTAGATCACTTATTCTAGTAGCTTGACATACTCGCTGATGAAACTGCAGTAACGACCTATGAGTACGCCATTATTCTTCTCTTCAACAACGCTTTGGCTTATTGAACGTACTCAAAATAATCGTACTTATCACAAAAAATACAAGAGATATACCAGCAGATATATATCCAATTCTGACAGGCTCCTTGGGAGATGTAGCTCAGCGTGTCGTAGCTTGACCTAAGTTTAATCCCATTTGTTATATATCTACACCTTGTATTCAATGTCTCATTCATTTTGGACGTTATATTTTTTTTAGGACCCGAAGGATATCCTGTGTCTACGCCTCCCGGGCCGTATGTTCCGTCGCAGCAGCCTAACCAAGGGGGTAATCAGGGTCCCGGTCTGAGGGGTATCACGCCGACGGTGCCTCCGAATCAGGCCTCAACACCACCGAATGCGGACTTGAAAGTACAGCCGCTGCAGCAGCATATGGTGAGTAACTAACCCTGGCATTCTTCGTATAATATTAAGTCTGGCTTAGACCTAGACCTCAAGATCGCTTCATTCGTAAGGATAATTGCACACACACCGATGATCATCTTCAAGAGGAAGATCAAACTGTTTGATATTCCCCTTGAAAATGATCACCTGGTGATCGAAACACCAACACCAAACCGTTATTTTAACACCTCGACACGTGTTTCGATCACCAAGTGATCATCTTCAAGAGGAAGTTTAATCTTGAAGATGATCAGTTGGTGATCGAAACACGTGCTGGGGTATTAAAGTAACGCTTTGGTGTTGGGAAACAACTTCAGCAATATTCATTACTACACCAAAGGTTCTAAACAGTGCATCACAAGTTTCAAGACATTGTCATGGAATGTTATTTTGAATCTAGTGATGTTTTGAAGCAATGGAAAATGTTTAGAGAACACTCGTCAAAGATACTCTCAGCGATAATATATAGTGTTTTCCCATTAATGAATTTGGGAAATGGACAAACCACAGAAATGAAAATTTCAACCTTGATTTATTTCGCTTCATATTTTCAAAATGCAGGGTATATCTTGACGAGTTAACGCAATCTATAGAAAACTGAGAGTAGGGCGATTCTGCAAATTGGTAGGATGGGTGAAGAACTAATGAAGAATTCAACTGAAGCATTTTCGTTGAGGTGACGTTTCGGGTTTCACCGGAAGTGACGTCATCTTTGTTATTTTTAATGGCACACCCTGTATTTCACCTCATTTTTGAATTCTTCTCATGATTTAGATTCTAACTCATGTATCATACCTTATACCCAAAATGAACCGTTTTCGAATTATTCGAGTTTTTTTAGAAAAAGTGACAGATGCAGCCTCTCGAACATACGTCATTTTCATGTAAATTAACATTTTTAAAAATATGCAGCTAGTGAATCGTGATAATTGAAGGTTGAAGGGATCACGCATCATTTTCACGTCCACTGAATAATACACAAGATTTAATTCTATTATGGAAATAAGCCCTCGTTATGTTTGTCCGATAAAATGTTTTTGTTGCCTAGTTTCCATTGGAAATCTCATGAAAAATAATCCCATAATCAAGACAAAAATCATGATTAGAATAAACAACAATTTCAAATTTAGTTTCAGTGCTAAACAAGAACATGTGACACTTTTGTCAACAGCTTTTTTTATTGCAACAAATGTTCAAATACATTCCTTCAACTTCTAAGAATTTTACACTTCTCCGTGTGACGTCTTACGCTAGTTGCACACACACCGATTTTGGACGGCCAGTATAAAATCGGTCGATATTTTATTGGTAGCGGGTGCTTGCACACTCACCGGATTTTTATCGGTCAAACAATCAGTTGCTTTGTTGTCGTAATCAGCACGCACTACCAAAACGAAGTTAATGCGTAGTAACTACAATTTCACCGAGCATTCGAGACTGGAATGGTCGGTAAAAAACCGGTGAGTATGCAAGAGTGTATTTAGTCATGTACGCCACTACTTCCCGGTACTGCCGGCAATACAGTGGCAGTGGACGGCTGCTCACCGGTATTTTACCGGCAACGATCACCGGTAGGCATGTGTGCAAGGTCCCGTTCCCACATGTGGTTCACTATTGGAATTTGGACGACCGGTACAAAGTCGCCCGTCCGAAATCGGTGTGTGTGTGCAACTAGCGTTATACAGCTCGTCTTATCATGTCCGGTGGAATAGAGTTGAAAGCAGTACGAACTATCTGCTGAAAATCTTCTTTTGTTGTTGTAGTGTAAGAATACACCTCGTTTTTTATATAACCCCAAAAGAAATCCATTAGAGTTAAATCGGGCGATCGCGGTGGCCATAATTGAGGACCGTCGGTTCCGAACCACTGGTCGTAATAAGTTTATTCTAAATACATCTTCACCATCTGATGATTATGTGGAGGTGCTCCATCATGTTGATACGAAATTTTTCGATGGTCAGCGAGCGTCAGTTTTTCCAAATGATCCGTATCGAGATTTTTTTAAAATATCTACGTATCGTTCACCTGAAAATAAAAATACCTGGTGGTCTGTTATGTATTTTCTAGATGCTATGAATGTTTATTACATAGCTACCTTGATGCCATTTTCATGAGTGATGTATTTTAATTTTTTTTCAATCAATGAAACAATACAATTCCGATACTTTTCAACTAACCATTTAAATGTTTGTCATAGAAGTGAAGCATCACTATTGCGTCGTCTTTAACAGCGCAGTAAACATTGAAATTTCAACAGTCTTGAAATTGACGTTCCCGAACTGAATGAGGGTTTGTATCACTCCAGTAGTGAGAATTCCGCTTGTTGAATATCCCATTTTTGGTAAATTTCGCCATATAATATTCCTCAAAAATTGGTCGTTTTCTTGATTTTTCATAATGAAGAACTCCGCAAAGTTAATTCTTCTCTCATAATCGGATAGCTTCAGGCCATGGACTAAAAAAGTATGAGAATACGGATGTCATTTATGTTTTGCTAATATTCTTTGCATGCCATTTATGTTTTGCTAATATTCTCTGCATGGACATTTTATTCAATCTCAAATCTCGTGCCGCATCTTTCAAAGATCCTTCTGGAAAAGCAGTGAAGTACCCAAGCACAGTAATCGCATTATCTTCATTGTCAACCACCGTTTTAGTTTTGATAATTTTCTTTTCGAATGATCCAAAGTTCGTAACATTGAAGATTAATCTTCTAATGATATCTGGAGATGGTTTCGGTTTTTCTGGATACCTTGTAGCATAAGCATCACATGCTCTTGTTACCACCTTATTGCATTCACCAATAAGTTAAAGAAATCGTGATTATTATAACCAGCACAAGTCATATTGTACCTTCGGAGAGCACGAATCTGACTATGAACAACTTTATTTCATTTGTCACCAAACATTGTGTTGAAAGATAGTAGCCTACTAGAAATATCAACATTTCGGGAAAGTATGTAAATATAATGGAATATCTCCAAAAGTATAAGTTTTGGTATGGGGAAGTGTATCATAACTAGGGCTTATTTTCATAATAGAATTGAACCTTGAGGAAAAAAATGGGGGTTCCCATTTGAAAAAGTTGAGATTTTCAATTTTTCTCATTCGCTTATTGGACCCTAGTTTTTGCGCACCCTGTGGATTATTCAGTGGACGTGAAAATGATGCGTGATCCGTTCAACCTTCAATTATCACGATTCACTAACTGCATATTTTTAAAAATGTTAATTTACATAAAAATGACGTATGTTCGAGAGGCTGCATCCGTCACTTTTTTCATTTTGAATATTACCCTATATTCATACGTGAGTTACAATCTAAAACATGGGAAGAATTAAAAAATGAGGTGAAATACAGGGTGTGTCATTAAAAATAACAAAGATGACGTCACTTCCGGTGAAACCCGAAACGTCACCTCAACGAAAATATTTCAGTTGAATTCTTCATTAGTTCTTCACCCATCCTACCAATTTTCAGAATCGCCCTACTCTCAGTTTTCTATATATAGATTGCGTTAACTCGTCAAGATATACCCTGTATTTCAGATATAAAAAAATACCCATTAAAATATTTCACATGGACATTAAATACGCCGAATCACATGATAATGTTTTGGACAAGTAAAATCCGAGTAATTTGACAATCAGTGATTTTACCATAATCTAACATTTTGCCCAGTAGAACGTTGTACCACCACCGTTATCACCGACACAATCGTGTATATACGTGGATAGACGTTATCAGAGCACTTCGTCGATTTTCGTCATTTCGTAGTGTAGTTTGGTTCCTCCGTTAGTTTACGTGTCCGTGTGGCAGATGGCTTTCCAGTGTAAAAAAATTGTGAGCATCTGAATGGTCTGGAGAAAGTACTCACACTCGGTAACGTAATAGAAGTTGAAATGGAACATGGTTATGTTAGGTAATTGAGAGAAAGGTAGGCATATTTTTGTGAAGTTCCCATTGTTTAACCTGTTTACAGGGTCGTTTACTGTGGTTCGCCAGAAAAATGTATCTGAAGTATCAAACACTGGAGTATAATAGTTGAATACGTTGTTCCGATCGGGACATTTTTATAGCTTTATTCAGTTTGAACCTTCCAAACATCTCTGAAAAGCAAGGTCTCATTCGAAATTCAGTCGTTGATAAGATAACAGCCGAAAGATTATTACGGTGTATTTGTGAAAAATCGTCGATTTCGATCCTTTCATTGATTTTTTTTTCAGTTCGTTCAGCCTCCCGTTAGACCAGCTCAGGGGACCTATTATCGGACTAACGGGCCACCAAGTCAAGGCCAAAGGATGTCTAACCATAACAGAGTAAGTTTCGATGTGTAAAGTGTTTTATTCGAATCTCCCTTAGTTAATGGGGTGCACTGGGAACGAAATAAATTGGGATAGGAGGGACAAACTTACGTTTGTGACAATGGTCCTGAAATACATCATAGTTGGTGGACTTCCCGCAAACGGTATCTTTAACGTGCACAAATTGGCGGCACCAGGAGAAACATAACCTAGTAATTAGGCTGTATATTTATATAGGGTGAATTTTCAAAATGATAATTAAACACTAGAACAGTGTTATTCCAATACTTCGATAATGTTTACATTACCTTCTTCTGGGAAGCTATAATAATTTTAGTGTAAAATAACATTGGAAAATTCTCAAAATCAGATGCACAACTTGCTGTCAGAAATGATGTTCAAGTTATATAAATAAAACATGACAAAGTCGATGAAGGTACAGTCTTGATAACATTCGTAGAAATAAAAACTTACACAAAGTTTTCTTGAATACAAAACGCGTCAAAATTATTTGAAAATATTTAAAAATAATCAACAGGTGGGAAGCAAATGTGCTAGGTGACCTTGAACAAGAATGAAATGTGACATATGAAGTGTGGCACAGAATTAGGAATTTTGTGTTTGTCAGGTAAAAACATGGAACAAAGAATGTTGCCGACTATGCTACAAATATTATAAGTGGCATTATACCATGTAAGCAAGCTAACAACTGAGAAAACACTACTACAAATTGGCAAATTCGGAAAATGAATGTTTTCTAAATCAATCACTACATTAATTTAATTTATATAATATGTGTTCAAAGATAAAGTTCATTAAAAAAAAGTATGATGAAATTTCAGAGATGTCATTTTTATTCTGAAATTGATGAAATTTTTGTCAGTATCAAGTAAAATAGCATAAATTTGATCGAGGTGATTAATAGCAATCCTTCTGTTGAGGGAAGATTCAGACCTCAAAATAAAAGCCATTTTCAGGAACAATTGAAGATAAGATCTTTTAACAAACCCATTTTGGTCTTGGCCATTATAAACCATAGGAAAATTATGTATATTAACCTTCAGCATCTGGTATAAATCAATATGATCTATACCAGATGCTGATCAATATGACCAGATATGATCAATATTATGAAGGTGTCGATTGTGTTCTGGAGAAATTTTTGCAACAAGAACTATTTTGATGTCAGATTATGACTTAACCTAACACCAAGTGGCCCAATGATGATTTATGTTGAAAGATAGAACAATTAGTAATAATGATAGTGCAGCCCAATGGGTAACAGATAGCTTCAGCAAAATAAAGTATTGAAACTGATCTTCGTATGGCATATGCTATATACATTTATTCACAAATAAACTGAAGTAGACTGTAATAAACTGTCTAAGAATTTTATCGCAGATAAATCATCATGTTCGCTATTGTATAGCGAAACACGTGTTGCTTTTTTTTATAACTATATAGTGAAAATTGAAATTTCAACACATTTTTTTCTTTTGACAAGTTATTGTAAAAAGATCTTTATTATGTATTCAAGTTACACTTTGTTCAAGCGTGTTTCGCTATATAATAACTTCTACGAGCTTTTTCATACTGACTAAATTTTACCTGACTAGTGCTTTATATAATATAATAACAGTTTCAATTGTATGACCTTCCGCCTCTCAATGACTAATACTTTTCTGATTTTATGTAAAACACTAAATAAAAATTTAAACGTAACGAAAAAAATTACCAATTCATTAGACTGACATAAAATATACTAATTACCAATTTCCACATTAAAGAACATATTCAGAAGATAGGGAGAATTCAATTATATTTGGTCACTCATAAATTTTCAAAATTCTTAAAACTATTAATTTCCAAGCATTCCAAAAGATTGAGTTTCATCCTTTCTCTTTCAAATATAATATTTTATAGTTATGAACTCTTGCTCCTCTGTCAATAGATGGTTTGCATCTTCACATTCATGTCTTCACATTCATGAAACTACTCCTATGTTCTTGTATTATAGTAGTAGTAGTAGTAGTAATCTTTATTATAGGATACATCCTAATCTTACAAGACATAATAACTAATTAATAATTTAAATTTCCACAGTGCCAAAAATATTAATAAAATTCAAATCTGTATATAGATAATAACAATAATGAAGATAAACTAAATAAAAAGATAATAATAAAAAATATACAATTTATAATACCCAATGTTGAAAANTTGTTTTTATTGTCTAAGGAATGAATAATCTTCCGCAGTTGAGTCATCGTTAATAGTTTAAATTTGGAAAAAGAACTGTTTATAACTGAATAATTTGTGGATGACCATTCATCAGATTGAGGGATACTCTTAGAGATATTTGAAATACTATTAACAAAGTAATTATTGAAATTCTCAGCTATCTCGTGTTCATTTTCACTAATTGTTATTGAATTGTTTTCACGAAAGATGATTTTATTCATTTTACTATTGTTAACCGGATTTATTATTGATTTGGGAAAAGGTTCTCCCGGTTTCGCCAATATCAAGTTGAGTCACTTCCATCACATACCTCCTTTGTAGTGGATTGTTTTATACCAAAGTTAGATTTGATTTTCGCAACGTCGAAGTCATATATCGGTATAGCTTGTTTGTGATTGATTTAATCACACATACTCAAATCTAGTCAAACACTTACTGGAGAATTGAATGATTCTTCAGTTTATACGATTTCATTGTAGTTTCCGTATGAAAAATCTCAAAAAATATAGTGAACATGTGAAGAATAATCCATTTTGGAAAAATTCATCTGTTCACAATCTTCCAATACCAAAATCAATATTTCTCATCAGAACATATTTCAAATGTGGAACATTTTATTATAGCTGAAATCTGTTGTCTGGAAGTATTAGATTTTCTCTTTCCCTGTCAATTAGTCAAAAATTTGCACACTGAATTGGTCATATAATAACTCACCACTGTATAAATATTATGTCAATAGAGTAAATATAGAAATTTTTGAGCACATACCAAAAAAGATTACTCACGATTTTTATTCGCATTTCTGGTTGTAATCTCTATAGATTGGATGCATTTCATATTTATATATGTATACTTTCAGCCTCAGCAACAACCTCTCTATACGCCTCAGCCGTCTCCGTACATGCATGTTTCACCTATGTACATACCTACTCCGAACACGATGGCGTACCCAACTGGGTTTCCTGCGCAGCGACCGCCAGGTTATCTTCAGACGGTTCCGACTCAAATCTACACTCCACATCTGTCGGCGGCAGCTTTTAACCATTTCAGCGGGACACCAGCCCAGGCGCAACCCGTTCAATGTAAGTATTCCTCGGACAGGCAAAATGTCGACTGCAAGGCAACTAGCAAACTAGCAAAAACAACACATTTATGATTCAACATCAGACAGCGATGTTTCGACCTGCCATAGGTCTCGTTAGTAGTGCTAGGTTGAATCACAAATGTGTTGCTGGACTCCACCGTCCTTAAAAGTACAATCCTAAGTAAGTGAGGGTGATAAAATCTCCCCTGATGAAGACGCCATCTATGGGATTGTCAGAGAACCCAATCCTTGAATATCAAAGATGAACAAGATCTCATTGATGGCATCTTGTGGTAAGGGAAGATATTGTCTACCATACTCACTCAGGCTTGTCCTTCAAGAACAGTTAAGTCCAGCAACGCATTTTTGGTTCAGCGTAGGAACACTGATGACACCTAAGGCGGATTTAAACAGCGCTGTCTGATGTTTATTTATTTATTTATTCATTTATATACACGGGCAAGCCCAGTTCAGATATAAGTAGTACTCGATGCAATTCAGTGGATTAAAAGTAAATTATAAAAATAATACAATTTCAAAGTAAGATAATAAATAGATTATTCAATAAAAATTAAAATGTATAACGATATGGACTAATATGATTCTTACAGGCAAGTAACATTAGACACAATACAACAACACAAGCAGATAGTATTAGATGGCTAGGTGAAGAATATGGTTTTTAAAGCGGAAAACTGATATATAAAAGATTTGAAAGTCACTTAGAGTTAGCCAATCAAAGAGTTCTGGGAATAAAGCTGTTGTATGAATAATTGAATCTGTGAAAAGAAACGTAAAACGTTTGCACCTATCTAGTTGAACGACAGGGGACATGTAAAGATATTTTGAAGAGAAGCTCGGGGCTGATACTCAGCCCGTTGATAGAGAAATATAGAATAGAAGTATTAAATCTCTATGTTTTCTGCGAGCCTCAAGAGGAGATATGTTCAAAATGCATTCCAATGCAGTATATCATAGTAAACACGCATCTTGAAGGCAATATATCGCAGGAAATTGTGCTGTACGGCCTTGAGTTTCACTTTTTGTGTGAAGTAATGAGGGTACCAAACTGTGGAACAGTAATCGAGATGATATCTAACCAGGGAAAAATAAAGAGATTTAATAGCAGTGATGTTGGTGAAAGCACGGGTGGTTCTCTTTATAAAGCCAAGCATCCTCATAGATTTTTTAATTATAGCGGAAATGTGTGATTAATAGCTAAGTGTGGAGATCTTTTGTTTCAATGTTGAATCATAAATGCATTGTTTGGGCTCTGGTTGATTCTGCCTAAATCTTTGATTGACTATTGAGTAATTTTGATTTATGTTCTCAAATAGTAATCAATAAACGGGAATCTCCAGAAGTTTATCTACATCTGATAATGTATCTATTAGCATAAGCTAGTATTCGCCACTTTCTAAATAGGCATCACAATACCTGTTTTCAGCTGATGGTAAATATTCCATTATAAAGTGAAATATTAATAAAATGTCTCAAAAGTACATGATTTCACCAGCAGCCTTGATTCCTAATTCATTTGTTATTATTGCCAGATAATTCTCTTAATTCGAAGAAATTATAGCTTACCGTGGTATGAATTTTACATTTTGGAGCACACCCAATTGATTTCAAGATAAGACATCCATAACAATTAGAGAATGTTTACAATACATTCGATTCAAGACGGGTTTCACTACACGGTAGCTGCATCAGTTGGACTCACAACTGTCCGACTGATGAAGACTGTTATGGATACAACTGATGAAGCTATGATTTCTTCTATTTGGTCTACGAAACAAATACTTTTTTCTGTGTTTCTATTTGAAAAACGCTCCTTGATCACGACATTGTTTCTTACAGATTACAATTTCGGGCAGGTGATGCAGCAGCGGGCTCCTGGCTCCATTCAGCAGGTGTCCCCAATGAACGCGACCCCTTCCCAAGCTCCTTTACAAAATGTGTCGCTGCCCCAGAATGGTCCTCCGCTCCAACAGCCATTCCAACAGCAGCAACAGCAGCAGAGGCAGGTTCACAAACGAAGGCCGAACGCATTAAAAATCATCGACCCCAACACGGGGGCCGACCGACTGCAGGAGATCTTCGACGATGCAGCCGCTAGTTCACATCCGCCATCAGGCGAATCATCGGCACGGCAGACGCCGCAGCCGCCCCCCGCGCAGCAGACGCACAACAAGGAGGTGCAAGCCGCCTTTGCCAAGCAGGTATTGCAAGCCATCAACAAGGACGCCCTGGATCTCCCCGTCCCGATGAGGCTTGAGGATACAGACCACGAAGAGCGCTTTGCTACCCCCCCTCCACAGTCAACTACACTTATGTCCAAGTTTGAGCATGTCGCTCAATCGAGCAAGTTGCAGGTAAGAATCAATATTTTTCTGTGAAGTATTAGGAATTCGAATAGTATTTCGAAGAAAGAACTGGTTGGATAAAGAATCTGTGTTTTTTGCCGACTTTTCCAACTTAAATAATAATAATAATCTTTATTGGTTTCAAAGACCTAAAAGGTATAAAACAAGTCAAAAGAAATCTGAACATGATTAGGCAAACAATACATGTACTTTAAAATGCTATAAGGAGCAAAGAGAGTTCACTACGAAGATAAGAACTCGTCCATAGTTTTTCTGAATCTGAAGAAAGATACCTCCTGATCGATTTTTGTCAATATGTGGTTGTAACCCTAATTCCATTGGAAATAGGGCCATACAGGCATATATTTAACAGATTTTGGGGTGTGTAAAGATGATGACTGTTTATCCTTGGGTCCATTTCATAGTAGTTTAAATTCATCGAAATTTAAACGTACTTGTGAATGTGTTCGAGATAAAAGTAACTTACCAAACTGCCGTATTTCCATGTTTGAATGAATGTTATATAATATATGATAAAACTGACTGATACTTGATGATCGATCGATGATCGATGAATGTTATATTATTTGTCATTTCCACGAAAATAAGGCAGTTTGGTAAGTTAATTTTGCTTCAAACACAAAGCAATAAAATTTAAATCAGTCCTCAAAATATTCTTCAAATCTACTAAAGAGTTCAAACATGCCTTTTTTATGGGAAAGGCTTTCTACTTCTCCATTTTATACACAAAATGTGGAAAACTATCGGAAAATATAGACAACTTCCAAGGAAAGGTAGAAAGAAATGCATCTCAAAATAAACTCTTTACAAAACCCTAATTTCCATCCCCCCCCCAAAAACCTGAAAATGTACCCCTGATTCATTTATTTATATTTTGAGTTGAATGTCGGCAAATAAGTTATCTGTTGATTACTTTATCTGTACTACCTTTGTTAATTGTAAGTTGTATCTCTATTTGTATTCAAATCGCATATTTTCAAAACCTTGTATAGACTTGTCATATGTCTGCTATTTATTTTTGTTCTACTTCAAGAAGGGCACTTCTAAAGTAAGGTTTCATTTAGATTTGGTTGCTTTGAGATGAGGCCTGTCTTGTCAAAAATTAATCACTTTAAATTTAGATTCACAAACGCTGGTGAATTTACACTAAAGACCTAAGAGGTCCATCATTATTTCTCAGCGGAAATCTCTTTTTACAAACTTCAAAACAGCGGAGTACTTTTCATTATGAGGTGCATCCATTTTTTTTTCAAACTATTATATGGTAATTCACCGACTTATTTTAATATGGCAAAAAATAAAATGAAACACTCAAATTGGATTTTCAAAATAATCAGTGATCAACTAAACTTTAACAAGGCATTCAAAAAATCTAAATGTTTTGAATATCAGATCGAATATGTATAACAATTGATTCATTGAGTAATTTTGAATTATATAATTCACCAAATTCTATGAAAAATGTCAGCAAAATGAATAAAATGAAACCTCAAAAAACATCTTTTGTTATATACCAATTGCACACTTATCTAACTTACTTTTCTTATAAATGTAACTTAGAATTTGTTCTCGGACAACAAATTACATATCTATGTACTCATCTAACTTTCGTTTATTTTTATCCATGTACTCATCTAACTTTCGTTTATTCTTATCCATGTACTCATTTAACTTTCGTTTATTCTTATCGAATGTTTTTTATTTAATTTTGTAGCCCGGGGCAAAGGAATTCGTGTTGAACACAAATACCGCCAAAGAAACGCCGATAGTTTCGGCCAACGTAGACTCTGCCGAAGTCACTTTACCTAATAAGTTACCCAAAGACAGAGAAAGCCCCGTGAAAGGGGGCCGCAAGCCCAGAGAACAGGCACAACAACAGCAGCAGCCGCAACAACAGCAGCAGCCGCAGGTGGTACTGCAGCAAGAGATCCATCTGAGGGAACTCAGAGACTCTGCGAAAGAGACGACTCCCCTCAGGAACTCTATCAGTGATAAAGAAGCTTCCATTGTTAAAGATGAGGTATGGTAAAATGATTTTGGGTGTTTTTTTTGCGAGGATTCTGAGAAAGTTGCAGTCGCTAATGTTGAAACTTTTGTTGGTTATTAATGAATGTTTGCTGAGAGTCAGGTTTTGAAATTAACAAGTTTGTGCCAGACATTGTACGTAGAGAGATGTTGACTACAGGGATCTGTAATCCAAATTATCCATTATTCTTCATATTAACTTCATTTGAAAATAATTTCTTTGAGAGGACCAGATAGATAAAAAGTGGAACATTTCAATTTTTAGTGTTAATGTAAAGTGTCTACACAGTGTTTTTTTTTTCATTTGAATTTCATTTGGCAACACAGTCCTCAACTTCTTTACCGTCACTCTTGTGTTCAGTTTATTCTCTAATTATTTTGCTTGGAACCTTCTGAGATGAAAAAATGTCGCTTGCTATCTTCCTTTATTCAAAGTTCCTCCTACCTTCTTTGAACCGAACTTATCTGTACTTGTCATGATGAAAAATTATACAATTTTCACTACACTAAAGATTCATCAGTTGGACTGGCGATGAAAGTACCGTGTGATTATTATCATGGATAGTATTATTAATTTTCATCAAGTAACTGGTCAGTGTATTCATCACACAAGCCAACAAATAAGAAAAAAATTGCGACTAATATAATGGCTATACATGAGAGTGTAAAGCATCCTGACTGCGACTTCAACATCATAAATTTTCCATCACGTAAAGATTTTGAGTCATAGTTATTTGTATTTTATACAAAAATTTTCGCATAATTTATGGATATATGAGATCGAAACAAGAAAAAAACAACATATTTTGAGGATAACAGACTTTATTTACAATACACATGAAAAAACATTCAAATGAAGTCTTTTGTGCATAACCTCTTTGCAAAAGTCGACTTTCGTTTATATGTTTCATAGTTTTCCCTCATAAGAAACCAACAATAATCCTCCATCATTGCTGCATCCTATCTGCCTTCGTAACAACGATGCTCCATTGTCAATATGTCTTGGTGGAACTTTTCCCCTTGTTCGTCACTGACAGCACCCAAATTTTCTGGGAAAAATTCAAATGGAAGTGCGAAAAATGGATTTTGAGAGACATGCAACATCCCATTCTGCAGTAGTTTTCAAGTAGTTCTTCTACAAGTGTTTCGTAATTTTCTACTTTCTTGTTCCCTGAAAACTCCGAAACAATTCTTTTGAAAGAACTCCACGCAGCTATTTCAACATTACCTAATTTTTGATCAAACTGTTGATCACTTGGTAGTTTTCTAATTTGTGGTCCAACAAATATACCTTCCTTGAGTTTGCATCACTTAATTTTGAAAAAACGCATCACCTTCTTTGTCTAATGCTTTTACAAAATTTTTCATTAACTCCAGTTTAATGTGTAGCTTTACGTTAGCTTGACCTGGAATATATTTATCTCTCGGAGGCAGTTCTTTTACTTGATAATGGCTCTGTGTTGTCCTACTATTCCAAAGGCAAAGAAAACAGCAAAACTTCGTAAATCCGCCCTGAAGACCTAATGATAGTCCTATGACTTTTAGGTCACCACAAATTTTTCACTTATACGTATTATAACTGCATGTGCAAGAGGAATCGAGGGTCTTCTCTTAACATTATGGAACAGTACGGCTTTTAAACTTGTTTTAGACGCTATGTTGCTAGATTTTGAACAATTTCCTCAATTTTGGAGAAAAACAAATTTGGAATGTCGTGTTCATTAAATTTTTGTGAAAAGAATCATAACTCAAAAATCTTACGTGCTAGGAAATTTTTACAATAATTTTCGCATTTAGGGACTAAAGAAGAAAAATTTCCAGTTGAAGTCACAAAAAAAAAGTAATCATTTTAATAAAAAGTCTTTACAAAAATGTGCAGATCTTACACAGAAGTTTCTTTCATAAACAAACTGGAGGGAAAAAAATCAACCAAAACAGCTATTTTTCAATATAAGAACACTCAATTACATGGAAATCACTTTTTTCTATTCCATTACAAAATTTGAATATCAATTGAAAAAAAAAAATTCTAATTAGCAGAATTCCATAGTTTGATTTTTTCTATTACCATTGAATTCACTTTTAACATGTTCTTATCTAGAACAACTTAATTTTCTGATTTTGACTGCATTTCAGTTTTTTTTTTCAAGTGTATCATAAGTTTTGTTATTTATGAAATATCTTTTTCTTACTGTTATTCTACATTTTGTAATTATAGTCTATTTCAAAAGAGTGTAGAGTAATAAAATCTCATTAAGTATTCAAAAGCGCTACAGGGTGATCCGTCAATGAATTCTGTCACTTCCCTTGTCCGCATTGCAAAATTATGTCGTTTCATAAAGAGCAGGTAGGTATCACCCTGTTTTAAGGGATTTGTCCATTGTTATCGACGGATAAATACTGAGCCAGAGGCGCGCTAGTGGGATAATTGCCAAAAGAATATGCATTCATAAAAATTATATTAAAGGAAATAAAAATTTAATACAGCAGAACAGTGTTATTAAAAAAATATAAAATGTAACAATAAAATATATACGAACCGAAATCGGGAAATACTCACAAACACACACGAACGAACTTTACGTATTGAAACACTTGTGGGGACTTTAAATCAATTTATTCACAAAAACGACAAGAACTTTACTGGATACGTTATTACAATTT